ACACTTGAAAAGTGCATCTCACACCTTATGAAACGTTTCTCCATGCTGAATTACACCCACAGAACCCATCAGGGTAAACATGCAGTGTAACCATCTTATAAACCCAGGAAAATATTTGCAAAAGATAGCCTTGCAGAGGGAAGAGAGAAATTAAAAGAAACGAAATGTCCTTTTCTCCAGTGGTCCTCATGCCAGCTTAACACTTGGCTTCAGGTATGTGAGGGGCATTAGGTGTTTTTCCAAACATTTTGAAGAAGAGCGAGTGGGTTACCTAGAAGTGGGCAGATGTTCTCAGTGCTACTGACCTTGAATTTTTTGGCTGTGATGTATTTTTGCCAGCGGTTTCTTACATGAAGGTTGAGGAGTCACCATCCCTGCAATTATTTAAAAGACAGGTAGATGAGGTGCTTAGGGACATTGTTTAGTGGTGGGATGGCAGGGTTAGGTTAACAGTTGAACCTGATGATCTTAAAGGTCTTTTCCAACCTAAACAATTCTATGATTCTATGAATAACAAATGCAAGACCTTGCCTAAGCAAAACTAAAGCAACACTGTGATATTCAGTGAAAATCAGTGACCATCTTTGGCCAACACCAGCAGCTCTTGCAGTCTCCATGTCAGGCAGTCAAAGAGAAGATTGCCAGTGGGCTGTTACCTGCTCACCACTGCTTTTAGAGCTTGCTCTCCGCATAACAGCATGTTCAGCTCCGGGGAAGCACATCCTCTGCTTTCAGATTTCCTTTTCATTCCCTCTGGATTGCACCTTTTGCCTCTCTCTCTCCCCCCCGCCTCCCCCTTAGTTTGTAACCTTAGTTTATGTTGTCTGGGCAAATTCCAAACTCTCTCCCTTACCTATGATTATTCCCTGTTTTCCCCTCCACACTTCCAGCCCCTGGACCTCTCTCCCTTCTGGATGTGGTTCTCTTCCCGTGGAGAGTCAGTGTGTAATAGAAAGCAGGGTGCCATTGGCAGGTAGGCGATTTCAGGCCTTCCAGAGATCTCATACCCAAAAATCCTCACTTTAGTATCTTTCCTTTTCTTTCCTTCAGACAGCACATACAGGATCCTAATATTTCTAGAAATTCAAGGGTTCCTTAGATCACTACTAGTAATTATTTCAGACTTTTCCTCTCTGAAATCAGGGTTGAGGGATTGACTTCCCTTGCAAGTATCCCGCCAAGCCCACTCAAGCAATAACATGATACAAACTAGCACAAGTCCACTCTAAGGTCTCTTATGGCCTAATGAGAAGGTGCGTTGACAATTTCAATATCTGACCTGCAGGTCCTCACTATCCCAGGGCAGGAGATGCCAGCCACTTAACTCTGCTGGCTGTTCCCCCAGGAGTTACTGGGAGTTTAGAAGTGGAAAATAAATGGGAAATACAACTTCTGTTTTGAAACCCGAGGCAGGCATGGAGAGGAAGACTTGCGCACCGAGCACCAGAAGTTTGTATTTGTCTGCCTTGTCCCAACAGCAACCTCCAGCCCTCTTGCTCCGTGGAGCCTGGAATGTGCCGTATGTCTTGTTAAGCTGCTTGTGCTCTGTGCTCCTACAGTTTAAGCCAATGTATGCCCTCTGCCAGTGGGAAATGCAGTTGTTTTTAACAGCTTTTCGTACCTCTTACAGAGTTAAGCTGCAAACAGCGTATGCTAGAATTTTTCCAGCACCCTTATTTTCAGAAGGTGTACTCTCTTGCTTAGCTTGCCTAAAACTTGACACTAAGGAACGTTTTTTTTTTTTTAAATCCTGGTTGAAAAAGTACTAAAATTTTACAGGAGGGCCCTACCTTATCCATACTTGTGAATAACTCACATAAGGATATTTTCTTCTTCAGTTCTGTTTATGCCTAGAGCATAAAGGTGCACCTGAGTACACAGTTTGGTGGCACTCGTTATTTGAGTTACAGCTGTGCTTGAGCACACACTTGGCCTCAGATGAGCAAAGATGAGTTTCAGTGTTTGCAGGTCATAGCCAAAAAGCTACACAGTTGTGTCAGACACAGTAGTAAAAGATGAGTTGCCTCTGACAAAATGCAGAGCATATTCAGTTAAAAGCCCCACTACACCTAGTGGCACCCTAACAGAAATAAATAATTCATTGCCCTTTCACAGTCTGCTGCATGGAAGATGTGAGAAGGAATGCAGGAGAGTGAGCAATCTGAGAAGGAACTTCGTTCTTATGTTTTGTCCCTACCAGGTTCATTTTCCAATATTTTTTTCTAATTTCCTTTGTCCTAGACTTTTCTCATGGCAATATTAAGCATCATATTTGGTTACTGACATCTGCTGGAACAAAATTTCCTTCTATGCAGATGCTGCTCTGCCACGTCAGGCCCCTTCACAGTACAGATTTTGTCTGCTGTAAATGTATATAAGTCCTAATATTTTTGTTTGAAAATCAACAGAGGCTGAACTCGGTCACTCTGTATTCAGTCCTACAGCTGTAGAAATGACCTGCCTCTGTCTTACCTGAGTCTGCAAAGCAGATGGAGTGTTTATTCCATGGCCCTTCATTCTCAGGAGGAAATATATTTGTAACCGGGATGTGAAATGCTGGTAAGATCATACACAAGGCTTGAAATAATTGATTTATGAAGAAAAATAATCAGTTTTGCAAGGAAAATGTTGCAGAGGGATCTTAAAAAATCCAATTCACCCACAGCCCTTAATTTAAAGGTGGTATATTACATTTTGACCTGTTATAAGTGTGTAAGCAAGTGATGTACCAACCAGCTGACAGCAATTCCACTTCCATGTTCAAAGGCCATGCTGTTGCCACACGGATTGCAGGGAGATGTGCATTGCTGTGGCAGCAGCTGCTAGGGCAGGCATGCAGCAGCTTTCTTCTTGGGACCACACAGAGGTGCCTGGTGACACAAGGTGGCAGGGTGCACCACGGCACCACAGCCACACAGGCAGTTCACCTTATGGCATGGTCAACTGTTAATAAATAAGTACAGGTACTTATTTGCTGAAAAAGTTGAAAAGCAACTTCTTCCAGCAGCTGCTTGAGACCTGCTGCATTCAGTCACCAGGGAATCAGGAGGAGACAAAGCACTGTCAGGGAGGGTGACACAGGGTGACTGCTATGACAAAGCTGAGCACTTGGGTGGCCCCAGGAGTCACAGCTTGGAGCACCTGCTGAGGGTGAGGCAGGCCAGCACAGATCCCCAAGCTGGCACGCAGGCTAAGTGGGGAGCCATCTCCAGAGGAGATCTTTCCTAGAGCTGCTGTGACTCCCAGAGGGTTTGGTAGCCACCACCATGTAGGACTGACAGTCTCGTGGAGCAAGGTGCCGATGCGAGCCGCAGCAGCTGCCACTGCTGTGCCCAGGGGCTCAGTATTTGGAGCAGAGACCCAGGCCAAAAGCAATGCAGGTCCATTCCTCCCTTCAGCCTGAGCTGACCCTGACATCAGACCTGGGAGCTTTTTGGGTGGCACATTGTTCATTGCTCACACTGGACCAAAGTTACTTTCCAAGAAAACTTAGATAGTTTTTTAGGATAGAGATAATGAGCATGACTCACTAAATTATTAGTGAACTTACCTACATGAGGAGAGATTGATAAGAGAAATTTAGGCACCTTTATTACACCTTTAATGCACCTGAGTTGTCCTAGCCATGACACCTGCGCTGCTCTGTGGCCCCACTCCTCCTTTCCCCATCGTCACTCTGTGAGTCACCTCTACCACTGCAGACAGACCTTTCTGGGAGGAGCTGTGACCACCTCGGTGTCACTGCTCCCACCACCACATTGCCACAATGGCAGTGCCGAAGCAGCAGCGAGCACCTCCAGGCTGCCCGCGTTTCTGCAGCTCAGGCAGCTCAGGCTTGGGTTTTGCCCTCAGGAGTTCTCCGACAATCACATGAAATATGAGGCAGTGCCAGGGCACAGGTGCTGGAAGACACCGTCTGTGTGACCGAAGTGACGGTGGCTTGCTCAGGGGTTGCTGCCCCATGCCCGCTGCTCTCGCCCAGGCGGCTCCCAGCCACAGCCAGTCCACAGCAGCGCCCAGCCCCAATGGGCCGTTTGGATGTGGTCACACAGCTTTGGGTAATAAGAGAGGTTAATAGCGTGTGCATGGCCTCAGAGGCAGGGAATGGGGCCTGGCACTCCTTGTCTTACTAGGACAAAGATGTAGCTGGCCATTGGTGCCCAGAACTGGGGCTCAGAAGCAGCTGAGACTCCCCCAAAATGGCAGATGAATGCACAGAAAGAAGCATGAACAAATACTGAACGTGAGTGATCGTCTGTTTGAGGATGTGGTCTGCCCTGCCCATCCTTTGAAGAGGTTCATCATGTGAAGAGGTGCGCACAGACTCCGATGCAGTGGGAACAACAAAATAGGTTTGCCTGAAAAAAACACATTAAAAAGGTAGAGGAAGAAACTAATGGAACACTGTAAGAGCTGGTTCCTAGGCAAGGTCTGGGAAGTATGAGAAACCAAAGAGGTTTGCCTTTGGTAACTACAGATGAAACTAATACTAATTTAGAAGTTTCACTCACACAATACTGTAAAAATGCAATATAAGTACTTACTGACCAAAATCACTTCTGAAACAACTCTACTTCTTTAGAGGATAAGTGATTCAGTGAGTGGTCTTCTCTTTATTGTCTTCCATAGCTCTTATTCTGAAGCCTGTTTTCATCCAGAAAATACCTTCTTCAACAAGTTACATTCTGACAATACTAACACTGCATCGGTCTTTTTCCAGACGAATAAATTCCCTACCCTACAAACAGTTCTTTGCTTCCATACTCCTTTGTTTTCATGTTCTGCCAAGCATTTGTTGTCAATAAAGACAAATCTGTTGTCACATAGCCAGAGTACTCAGAATGCTTTATTATGGGATTTTTTTGGTTGTTTTGTTTCGGGTTTTTTACCATTGGTTTTAACTACAACAATACTAATTTACTGAGCTTCCTATTTTCTTTGGTCTGGGTTTTGGGGATTTTTGTTCAGTATTTTGAGTTTCACTGAAGGTAGCAAGGCATTCATTTCTTAAAAATCTTCAACACAGTTTCTATGTAACGTTCGTCTGGTGGGGGTTTCCTTGGGCTGCCAGGCTGCAGGAACTTCTTAATTGTAGGCATATTGCTCATTCTTATTTTAAAAGCCTAAAAAATAAAAACCAACAGAGTAAGAGAGAAATTCCAGCTACTCCAATAGCAAACAGTGCTCCTTGCACAGAACAACTGCTTCCCCCTGCTGCTAGAAGAGATCCTAACATTCATGGCAGATCTCATGCCATCCACACAGTCTCCTTCTGTCCAACAGGAGAAGGACCCAGCTGCTGCAAAAAGCCTGTTCTTGCCAACCAAGGCAGTACTGGAGCAGACAATATCTAAATCTCTGCTGCCTGAAGGAAACTGAAGGCAAAAATTTGATATCCAGGAGCACCAGGGGACAGATTTGAAGGTAAAAATATGCTAACCCAGCTCATGACCTTTTTCTTTTCATTGCTGGTTCTGATGGTGCAAACTACCATGTGGGCAAACCGCGATATATGTTAACATGGTTTCCATTTTTACAACATTATGTATCTGAGCTCTGTTTGCATCTAGCATGGCCGCCATTGTTCCGCCATCCCAGCATTTCTAAGATTGCATGAGTGAAGGTGAAGTGGCTAGAGGCATTCTTGGCTCAACTCAGTTGCCCAGTAGAGGCATCTCATACTGTGTTGTAGCCTAGGGTAGCCAAAATATCTACACAGGGCTGGCAGATATAACACAGCCCCATGGGGAGACCTATTCCCTTCTGGAGCAGTGGCCGGAGGCCAGGACTAGGATTAGGGAAGAGCTGGGCATCTCAGGTAGCAAGAGGTGCCTCTGTTAAGGCAACCGAATCAAGGTTCCTGAGACATCTCATTGTACAGGCAGCCAGAGGGGACTCTGATGCAGATTGCAAGCAGCTGGAGACCCCGTGGTCAGCTGAGCAACCTTAGATACACAAGAACCTCTTCTAACAATGGGGCTAAGGGAGAGGAGCTTCACAGAGCCACAGCCAGTTCTTGCTGGCAGATGTATGAACATAATTTCCTCTTCCTTCCAGTGCCTGTAAGGAGGGAAATACAAGAAGGAGCAAGAAAAGTAAAAACTGTGAAATTAGTAACCACCAATTTTAGAAACTTTTCCCTTCTGGCAGTGAAGGAATCCCTCCATAATTGAAGGCACGACTTCAGCAGAACTGTGCCCGTACCCAGTGGCTAAGATATCTTGCTAGAAGATGGGAGCTAGAGGCAAGAATTACCTGAGGCTGCAAAACTTCACCTGGCATAAAGTCTGACACATTACTGCCCACTTTGTGGCTGAAATGCCTCCTTCTGTCACACTAAATTCAGGATTAAACTGTTGGGCTTGAAATTAAATTTTTTTTTTAAAAGTAATTAAAGAAAAAAAATCAAAGCCCTTTTCCTCATCAGTTCCAAGGAGAAAACCTAACTGTGATAGTCTGATGCTGAACTGTTTCTTTTGTTACTGAGAATAAAGCCAGTCTTTTGAGTGCAGCCCTCAAATTAACAGTTTGTAAGTACAAAGAAGCATGACCTCAAGCCTTGCATCCTCAACCCAAATTTGCACTGCCTACACTGCTTTATTACCAGGATTACATGCACATGGGAGGACTACTGAACACTACCTGCTTCTTTCCAGTCAGAGACTACTTGGGTCCATTGTATCTCAGCTGTTAATGACCCCTGCAGGTCATGCCCCAGGCTTGCCCATGCCCCGTGCTCTATAGCATGCTGCATGCCTGGAGGCTCCTGATTTCTGGTGAAGTCCGACAGCAGACATGCCTCACTTCTGCTTGGCTTCAGACTTTGTACATGGCACAAAGGCAGAGAATTCATCCTTGACTGTGTTGAGTTGACTATTGAAAGAAAACTGCCTCAACGCTAGGGCTTCAGTTTCTAGTCATACTGTAGAAGGCAGAAGCGAAGTGAGGTTACTGGGATCTCAAAACTGTAACACCAGTATTTTATTCTGTATCACAGACTTAATTTGTTATCTGGTATTAGATAGCATCTACTGGCAGGAAGCAGGAAAATAAGAAGGGGCATCAGTGATTCCCTTGGGATGATGTTAATTTATTTCTATTGAGGAGGCATGTATCACTCAAAGAGGGATATCCCTGAACAGGGATAATCAGGAGCACAGTGCCTTACAACAAACCAACTAAATCAATTCCCTCCTGTGCTTGATGTTAAGCAAACATGCAATAGCAACAGGTCCTAGAAGAGCCTGCACTCCTGGTTTACACAGCATGGAGAGATGGTCACTTCAGGATTGCCCTCTAGCTCCTGAATATAGGCATGCTCAATAACAAAATTACCTGCAACTGAGGAAACCCCGACAGCACAGCAGGTATTTTCTCCTCTACTGCTAAAATGGCTTCAATTAGCTGAACATCTGCCCAGCTGAATTTGTTGCCCACAAGAAAGTCCTGGCCGTGTTGTTTCAAAACCTGTAGAATACAAGAGAATGTGGGCTGCAGATGAGAACTGGACATACGATGCCTGGCAGCTAAGCCTCACAGCACAGCTGTCGAGCTGAACAGCAATTATATCTGAAATTTTTTCAGGGTGGGGTTTTCAGCTGGAAGCTGTGAGCCTAAATCACTCCATTATTGTTGGGAAAAAGTCTCATCTGTTGTAGTACACAGACTACAAACTTTGGTCACTCGGTAGTGGTGAATTATGATAGGCACTGGGAACAGGGACAAAACTACTTGCTTGAGTAGACCAGTAACAGTCACAGAATTAGAAACAGGGATGATGGAGGAACTAAAGAGTAATTTGGAGCATTTATAAAATGGCCATTTAGATATTTCATTTAAAGTTATGTCCGATGTTGATACCAGGAAGCAAACTTAGAAATGCAGAATGGTAACAGCTAACCAAAGAAAATCCCTGCCTTTGGGAATAAGTTATAGTCACAGGAGCTTCTAGGATGTTCAGCCTTTATTATTGTTTTCCATCAAAAATAGATGAATGTTGCAAAAGTGAGAAATGTTGCCAGATGCCTGAGTCATATGGGTTTGGTTTGTTGTTTCTGAAAGTGGGCTGTGCAGAAATCTATGACTGTTGTTTTACCAAAGTACTCCTAATCTCCCTACCTGATTTATTTGCAAGGGATTTTTGCATTTGTCTAATGAAAATGTTCCAACTGAAATATAGCAGAGAGTTGTGCTTTAAACAAACGCGTGTGGAACTATCCCCTCAAGGAGAAAACAAATCATACGTGCTTGCTTTTACTTTAGTGAAAAGTTTTGCTGTATAGCTGAGAATATATTGCTTTGTTCGGTGCGTAGATGTTCAAATACCACAGCTCTGACAACACAAAGCCAACAGAGAAAATGTGCTGCTGTATTTCCCCTTCTTTGAGAGAGCCAAGAAAGCTGAGGATTTGGAACTGACCTGCACTACAAACATGTTCTTATTTGGGGGAGACTTCTTGATAATTGTAAATACAAGTTTTATAGGCACATCCTCACTATCACTTACCTTTTCAAAGACTGGAAAGTACCTGTTAGTTGCCCTGTCCTTAATTGAGTCAAGATTTTTCTCCTTTGCCTCAGGTGGAGAGAAAGGAAACATCAAAATCATGTGCATCAGATCTGTTACTCCTTCCACATACATATCAATCCTATCGGTGGGGGGAAGACAGTAGAAAAGAGCAGAGAAGTTATTTCATCTGTTTTCCAGTTAACTAAGGCAACTTATAGGAATTTTATATCACCACCATAGTGCCAATTTTCACAGCCAAAACTAAACATAAACTAAAGCTAAATATATTTTAAAAGGACTAAAAGCCTGTTTCTGTTCTGCAGCATTTCAGAAGCAGTGATTAAAACCTAAGCAAAGGCTAGAGTCCTTGCTTTTTGTTGTGTTAGTCTTTCTCATGCCTTTCTATTGGATTTACAGGATTGAATTCGTTATACGTAATGCAGCTATCAAATAACAGATTGCTCAGTAAGTGAAAGGAGGTGTTACTGTACAGGGCTCTCTCCTTCAAGTCTTTCCCATAGAGATTGTATTTCCCTGCTATGTAGCTGAGGATGGCTCTGGTCTGCACCATCTTCATCCCATCAATCTCAACCAGGGGCACTTGCTGGAACATCAGGACTCCATCTAGGGTGGAAAGTTGGGGGAAAGCTTGTTAGTTGCTCCTAGACTGCTCAGCTTTAGAGGAGAGCGAGAGACTGAGCACGTTTCTTTTCAGTGTAGGAGATCATTGATGTCTTGCCCAACTGTAAAACTCCATGCAGTAAACCAACATTGCATGAAAGATCAAATATTGACTAGTCTGCATCAGACTTTTGTAGCTAGGTCATCACAGCGCAGCTGGGCCCCTTGCTTTACAGCACTGCCAGAGCTTCACTGCCTGCCGGGTGCTGGCACCGCCTGCTCCTTTGTACTTATGGACTCTGCCTCATGCTGGCAGGAAAAGCCTGAACCAGCACTTTCAACCCAAGGGATCGGAGAAGAATAAAGATCTGTGTTAAATCTGAACTTAACAAAAAAAATTCCAATTATTTTGAACGCAGAGCTGTTCCCCAATGGGGACATGTACACATGAGTAGCAATTATGGAAAGGGTGGTACCACAGCAAGACTGAGCTACTGGAGTAACAGAAGAGGTGAGGCCACTTTCAGCATGGTGAAGCTACAGCATTAGAGGCAGGGACTGTGATAGCCATTGCTGTTGAAGTAAGTTTTACACAGTCACTCCAAGGGACAAGAGTGTCCCCACAGATTTTCATTACAGGGCTATCCTCGGTGTCATTCCACAATTTAAGCTATTAAGATACACCACCACAATCCCTTCCTGCCTTTGTAGCCTCATTGTCTCCTGATGCTGGTATGACCATTTGTATGAGCTGTCAGTGAGGCAGCTCTGAGAGCTAAGCTGACACAGGGATTCAGCTTAGGAAAGTCAGTCTTTTCTAGGCCAGTTTTCTGCTGGACTAATTCACTGTCTTTGGAGATACTCCCTCCTCCATTTACATATTAAGGGCATCCAGAGAACAAACCCGCCCTGTTAAAATCACAGCAAAACTCCAAATCTAACTAGGCAGCTGCCACTTTGCATTGCTCAAAGTTAATAATTTATTTTAATTGCTCAATTTTAATCTGTTCATTGCATCCTTCTTTCAGGTGCAGGAGTTAATTTTAACAGGCACATCTGTCTGCTTTTTTCTCCACAGTGCTATTAAAACACTTGGCTAGCGTAGAATTAACAAACATTCTTCACTCATTCTATATGATTAATTTACAGTTTAAATAGTTCTCTCTGCAGCAATGAATAGCCTCTGTTTGTTTCTTGTAAACACTAACAGAAAGACCATGTTTTCATGCCTTTCTAGAACACACCTCTGCAGCTTAAGGAAAGAATATTACTTGGTATCTATCTAACAGAACACAGAAGAACTGGAAAACTAACAGCTCTGCAAGTATACTTGTTTCTTATCTAGAGAAAAGAGGGATTTCTCTCTTATGACCAGTAGCAAACTGCTTCTCCTCTCTTTGCAGTCAGAACCACTTTACATAGCCACTGTGTAGAATATATATGCAGGATTAAAAGCATTTTGCCAATTGTTTTGCAGATTGCATTGTGCTGTCTGAAGGCAGTCTGCGGAGCATACGCTAAAAACCAAACATCTAGACCTACTATTTGTTACAGACCAGCAGATCCTCTCCATATCCAGGTAGCAACTTGGGAAACCTGTGGCTGCACATATTGAGCCAGGATAGTCATCTCTCAGGCCAAGGGGTAAAAGTCTGGCCAGGCTCATGCAATTTAACTCTTTCAGCTTCCAAAGCAGCTGTCCATCTGCAAGCTGCCATTTGGGAACAGCCCCTGGCCCAAGCTTCATCCTGGACACTGCTGCAGCATTGCTTAGTAGATCATCAGCTGGCAGGGGCTAAAGTCATGCCTGGACCGCTCTCACAATCTGGTGGTGTCTAAACACAGGATACCCTGGCAAAAAGCATGTTGGTAGGGACAGAAAAAAGTTACAGGAAGAGATAATGCGGGGTTATTCATGTTCAGTCCTGCCCTGTGTGATCAGCAGGATTCCAGAGGTCCCTTTATCAGGATGACCAACTAATTTGTCTTTCTTCAACCTACTGTATAAAAGCCCAGCTTTTTCTTTGTGTTTGCAGCCTCTTAAGCTCTTATACACAAAAGCCCTTGATCTTCTTTATAAAACTTCCCTATCCTTTTCATCACCACATAATTCTACTCTCTGGATATGGATAAGCTTGGATGCTGTATCCAGGATTGTACCACTCTGGGTTAATTAGTCCTGTAAAGCAAATTCAGATTTGGGCTTTCAGTACCTGCACTACCATATTTAGAGCCATAACTGGTGTCTTTACACTGATGTCGTCAAATTCCCAGCCAGCTGGACCTGCAACTTTCATTCTGATCTTCTTGATACCACTTCTTTTTTATTTTTGTTCGTTTTAGTTTTCCTGTCAGAATTTCTTTAGGCACAGCTTTCCCTTTCTGAGCAGGCAGCCAGAATGCAGCTGAGTCCTCTTCCAAGTCTCCTAGTATGTCTTGGCAAAGTGAGGTTATGAGGTTTCAACTGAGGGAAGCTTCATGGCTCAGGCTTATCCTGCTTAGGACTGTCACTAGTGTGTTTGCACAGAGCCTAGCACAAAGGAGAACTGGCTTTCCTGGATGTTTTGGTGCTGTGCCAGCCTTTCAATTAGACCCTTATCTCACTTAGGTTCAGAATTGACGTACAGGTACATCACGCAACAACAGCTCAGGCCAGCTGGCACAGACTAGCCACATTGGCTCTATTCAGCTCTCTCTGCCTATAGAGCATGGTGGTCACATCTAACGATGTTGTGGAAATGGCCCCTGGCCTGGGACAACTCCCAGATGATGCCTAGGAAGTGCTTCAGGGAGTGCTATTTGCCCTGGACCAAAAGTGTGCCAGGAGCCATGCTAACAGCTCAACAGCATAGAAGCTATGACATTTAGCTTATAGGAGCTGTTTGGCACTGGAAAGAACAGGTTACTCAAAGCCAGTATTTTAGTATTCTAGGTGTGCATCTAGAAGTTTGCACTGGTTTAAATAAATTTATTTAAATAAACAAATAAACAAATTTAGCTAAACTGGAGCAATTTTTTGAAGGACTAAGCCTCAGGTGTCAGATTCTTACCTTTGATTAACTTTTCATACTGCTCTCTAGTTTCCAAAAAAACTTCTTCAAACTGGAAGAGGAGAGAGAAGAGTGTTATGCTGCTGTATTTTCAACTTTTTTCTTCTGTAAGTGACTGCACAATACACAGAATGACCCAACCAACCAAAAGATAATGAGCCGGATCTTCAACTGCACTGTTTGGCCGCAAGTGTCCTGAGGCTCCTGCACCCATCCTTGGAGCTGGGGAAGAGCAGAAGGTCCTGGCTCAGAAACCACCTTAGTGCCAGTAGAAACAGTGCATACATCTACAGGAGGAAGGCAGGTTGCAGTGGGTGCCAAGGAAAGCAGAAGGTAAATCAACTATGTTTAACCCCACCCCAGGGCATGTAAGTCAACAACACTCTTTTGTTTATACACATTGTAACTGCAAACTCAGTAAGACCGTGTTAAGGTAGGTTTACACAGCTGGAAAACTCAGATTTATTAAGTGACTTTAAATAAATCCCCGTTTTGACCCATTATGATTGATTACTTCCGGGGACTGATACCAGCTCTATAAAACTTCAGGCTCCACCGAATATGCACCCCAAATCTTAACCACCGAACAGGGTAGTTACAAACACGCAGTACCACTGGCCAAACAGATTTAGCCATCCCCTTGCAGCTGTATATCCTCCATGTGCATGTTAAATTGTTCCTTACTGAGGCCAGCTGAAAACACCAGTCCGGAACGCTGTACCGAGTGTCAACTAACCTCCACACCAGCTGCAGCCAACAGCCATCGTACGGGCTCCATTCGCCCCCTTCCATTACAGTAGGTAAGCCTGGGCTTCCCCGACATGGTTCTGCACTCCTGGTTCCCTGAAGAACATGAAGCAGAAAACAGTGTGTCTCACAAAACCAGTGTAAGTACCGTTACTTTGGAGGAAGGAGCCTTTTATTCTCATGATGCCTGTTGGAATTGCACTGCATCTGGTTTAAAACATAAAATGTGAGGTGGACCCGTGACATCACGCAGCCTGTGCTAGGAAAAAGAAGGACAAGAGGAAATGGCCTCAAGTTGAGCCAGGGCAGGTTTAGATTGGACATTTCTTCACGGAAAGAGTTGTCAGGCATTGGAATGGGCTGCCCAGGGCAGTGGTCGAGTCCCCATCCCTGGAGGTATTTGAAAGACGGGTAGAGGAGGTGCTTAGGGCCATGGTTTAGTGATGGACTTGGTGGTGTTAGAATAATGGTTGGACCTGATGATCTTAAAGGTCTTTTCCAACCTAAACAATTCTATGATTCTATGTGTAGATCTGTAAAGCCTTCCCCAGGGCTACTAGGGAGGATTTTTATGATTATAAGCAAACACAGACATGTTTAAACAAGCAGTATGAGTGCTGAGCTGCAGGGGCAACCTCACTGCACTTTTAAGACAATTATGCAAAGTCACTGAAGATCTCACCGCATCCTCAGGGAAGTTATTCACTTAGCCTCATTGCCATCATCCTCATTGAAAAGGAAAACATGCTTTACTGCTAGGCTGAAATTTGTCTAACTTCGTTTGCCAGATGTCAGAGTGTATTTTTCAGCTTCGACTGCCATCCAATTCTTTCCTCAAGTAGGGGCAAATGAATTGTTAATCTTCCCTTTACTCCATGAAACAGTCAGTGGTTCAATAGCACTCCCATTGAATGGCTACAGCCCTGTTTTCTTGCTGTTTATGGCAGCCTGGAGATGTCCCTCAAAGCCAGACCTGGAATCTGGCTGTATTGGCTTCAGGTGCCCCCAAAAGTATCCCCCAGGGCACCGGGGACCTGTGTTTGCAAATCCATGCTTCATTGCCCTAATTACTAAAAAATGGGACTAGCGTTCCCCCTTCACAAAGACATTAGTGTCATACACTAATGATTGGAACAAAAAAAGCTTAAAGATGGGTACCGGCACCCTAATCGTGTTCCAGTGGCTCAGAAACCAGAGAGTAGAGTGCCTGATTTAAAAAAAAAAAAAAAAAAAAAGTAATTTTACAGATGACCCCAGTTTTCTCAGAGCTAAAAGCCAGAGCAGCTATGTTAAGTCTGTCACACTTTGCATCCACATTACATTTCCCGTTTGAATTGGGTTCAGTACGCTCTAGTGATGTATTTTCTTCAAGCCGCAGTGCTTTTTAAGTGTACTTAAAGTACATTGGGAACATACTTCACCAAAACTTAAAGAACTATCAGATTGAGAGTTCACCCCTGAGCAGTTCTGGTAAGAACTAAGTCATGTTACTACAATAAATAGCGGTATTTTTGGTAATTCAGACAATATAATCCAAACACACATAAAGGAAAAAATTATCACCTCCAGTTTTAAAGTGCAAATAGCTGCTGCTAATTACGTTTTGCCTCTAAGAGTGGGTTTATTACTTTCTGCCTGCTGTGTGACTAGCTTTTACTCTATGGCAGCGCAGCTTAGCTATGTAGATCACAACAGCTAACTGGTGCCTCTTTCGTGATCGTACTTCTCAGATACATTGCATCCATATAATTTCAATGCAGATTGCCCCAACTTGTAACATGCAGACACAGCAAGACTTTTGTGTTAACTAAAAAAGCCAAAGACTGCAATACCAAGAATATTAAAACTTAATCGTCTTGGAAAATGTACTTACTGTTTGCAAAACACAAACAGAGGGAGTGAAAAGTCTTGGGTATCATTTTATCATTTTACATGAACAAGAAATTCTATATGGCATTAAATTATGTGGTAAGAACAATGACAAATGGAGAACAAAAAATGGTCACAGCTTTTTTTTTTTTAATTAAGAATAACTCTGTCAGCCTTAAGAGGATTTTAATTGTCTTAAGCTTCTGACACAGGAAAAAAACCTTGGGTTTTGGTAAAGTCTCCTCAATTTTTAGATCCACTGAATGTATTTCCATTGACTATACAGGGACCTGACACATGTAGCTCACATGCAGACACATTTTGGTGCCTGGGTCTGGGCCTGAGCCTTGCCCTGAGGGCTCAGTTTAGTTGCCCATTCCTATGTGTCTACTGACACTTGAGATTCCCTAAAGGTGGGCAGATACAACCCTCAACTTAATTGGAGAGGGGGCAACTTCTTCAGTATACCTATTTATCCAGATTCCCAACGCCTTTTTGCATTTATTTGGGGAAAGGTACAGCTAACATAAACAGTGGCCTCTCAGGACTTCAATCAGTCCTCCACTGTTTTTCTAAAATTTTAGTAAAAGATTTGCAGGATGTTGTGTTTAAAAAAAAAAATTGATCCATTTTTGGCACAATATGTTGATGATTTATTAGTAGCCAAGGAATCTTGTATACCTGACATCTGTTCCTTACTGTTTGCCTTCACCGAAAAGGGCCATCGGGCCCCTCCATGCAAGTTACAATTTTTCTAAGAGAAGCATAGAATATCTGCGTTACATTCTCCAAGAAGAGGAGAGGTGTTTTTCTGAAAACCATATTAAAACCATTCAAAATCCTCCCTGACCAGTTGCTAAAAACAAACTCAAGCCTTTTTAGGAACTGTAGGATTCTGCCACCCTTGGACAGCTGCTGTCAAGGAAATGGCAAAACCCCTGATACCAATTACTGCTCAAGATGCTGGAGAACCCATTCACTGGACAACAGACAAGGTAAAGACATTAAAGCTTTTCAAGCAAGCTGCACCTGCCCTGGGGCTGCCAGACTAGGGTAAACCATTTACCTTGTTCATACAAGAAGGGCAAGGAGTAGCCTCTAGGATGGCAACTAACACGCTGAACCCTGCTACTCTGCTCCCTTCACCTGGGGAAGGAACTCCATATCATGACTGTGTAGTAACCACCCGCAAAGCTGAAAAGACTCAATAAGATTTAACAGACATGCCATTTCTAAATCCCAGTCTGGAACTATTTGTTGGCAGGTCCTCATATTATCTGAGCAGCAACTGGATTATGGGTTATTCAATAACTACTGTGAATGAAGCAGTGGAGGCTTCACCACTCAGTCCAAAGCTGAGCGTACAAGCAGCCAAATTGATTGCATTAACAGCGGTCTATCAGCTGGTCAGAGAAAAGACTGTAAATATTTATACTGATTCTCAATATGCATTTGGAGTATGCTGTGCTCCTGGGCAGTTATGGAAGCTGCGTGTGTTTACAACTTCTAGTGGAAGTAAAATATCAAATGCTCCACAAATTACTGAACTGCTAAAAGCTATACAGTTGCCAAAGAAACTTGCTATCATTCATCAGCCAGCCCATACCAGCAGAAGGACAAAAGAAGAGATAAGAAATAGTCTAACAGACATTGCTGCTAAAGCCACAGCACGGCAGGCATACGAACCACCGGGCTTACAAGCAGTCCAATGGTCCGACCTTGTGTTGCCCACTCCTGAAAAGATATGTATGACTGTAAAAGAAATTGACTCTTGCAAAAGGTACAAGCAACCAAAGACTCACAGGGAATATAGAGAGCAGATACGGAAAACCTTCCTGTTTTACCAAAGTAATACCTGATTCCTATAGCAAAAATGCATCGCCATCCAGGGCATTTTGGTACGGCTGCACTAGCCCAGACACTGCTGAAGAACTGGTTCACACTAGGAATTTATGCTGCAGCCAAATAAGTAACCGCATGTTGCATGCACTATCTTTAGCCTTAATTAATATTTAGCAAAGACCTCAACATAAAATTTGTCTATATACAAATATTTTTACTGCTTTTGTCTAACTTCTGTATTTCCATCCCATTTCCTGGCGAGCCTGAATGACACGCCTGACCTGAATTTCTCTGAGGATGCTTCTCAGCAATGTGAGAACTGCTTAAGAGGGGATGGTCTTTCAGAAACAGCATTCTCTGCAGTCAGTGTGAGGTGCCCTTTAGCGCTGGAGCTGGGAGCAGTCTCCGGCATACCGAATGGGCCAGCTTTCCTGCTCACACCCAGAAGAAACAATCACGCTGCGAGAGGCTTGCTGCTGTGTTCTCCCACCCATCTTTGCCTTCCCGCACTTTGTCCCCCAGCAGTTTCACAGCCGCCTTGCTCAGCTCTGAACTGCACCACAGGACTCACTTCCTGGTTAAAAAACTTCTCTGTCTTGCTTTCTCTCTCCTGCAGCTTGCAGCTAGTGAGTAACTATCGAGCCATGCTAGGTCTATCCCTATCCAGCACACGAACTAAAGACAGCAGAGAATTTACATTACCCCAGCAGATGCCCTAATAAATTTGGAAGTAGCTTCACTATAAATATTCACTCAAACGCTTTAAGAAAAAGGAATTTGTAAGTTAAGCACTTACCCTCTGACCTTAACTCAGCCTCCACCCAGCACAGGCAAGTTCCCCATGGGTTTTTAAACTTTGGAGCTGGGGGGAGTTTCCAGCCATACCCAATTAGAGAGAAAATCTCCCATTGCTGTTAAACTGGCATGACCCAGCTTAAAGACATACGCCTCTGAAAATTGCAATCCAAGGCAGAGACTGTCCCTTTTTGAGTTTGCTGATTTGACTATACCACATGGGTAGCCTCAGAGCTTCTATAGTAGCCATCAATTCAGACTGCTCTCTTGGAATTATTGGGGTGTTTTACCCAAGTACAAAGGCGAGAGACTTTAAAATGCTAAGAAAAGTATAGATTTTTCTGGGTCATATTTAGGGTAATAGTAACCATTTAAAGACTAACCACTGAAGTTTGTAGGCTTATTTCACTATGTAACAGTAAACCCAGGTTTTTATTTTCAGTGCTGTATGGCACATAAAAGATACCCAAAGTATGGGATAACAATGCTCAATTACTTTGAAATACAGTTTGCCAGTATCAAACTTACTTAGGGGTAACTTGGTATAAAATAGATGAGTAGTTTATGACACAACTCACCTCATGTCTTAAGGCAATAGCATTAACTGGAAACTGAGTGTACATGGCTAATACTCAGAGATTAAATAAACTATGATTTTCCTACCCTGTTTCCATGAAAAGTAACTGCTTCAGCTTTGCTATCCACATTTCAGGTGAAAATACCAAAGCTGAAAGGGAATGTGAATAGATACAAGGGCAGCATAGCAAATGGGAAATGGGATTTGGGTGCCAAAGATCAGGTTCTCACCTCTAGCATAGACCCACATGTGATGTTGGGCGTCACTTTGCACCCCTGCAGCAGATGTTAGCCCAGCTAATCTGAAGATCTGTTCACAGAACCCACGCTGTTATCAAAATTGTATTTGTCGGTCTGAAGCCATGGCTAACTGAAGCCATGTACCAGCACAGCATCTCAAGATGGGGAATCTCAGGACAAAAATCTCTAGGTAGCTCTCTTGAGGAAATCCCTCCAAAGCTGCTACTTTCTTTTTTCCTCACAAGTTGGAGTTCTGTTACGGTTTCTCTGCCTGGCAATTGCTGGCAGTCTCTTCTAGAGGATGTACTTCCACTAGAGGCTGCTTGCAAATTTGTAATTTATGTGCTTCAAAGGTTGATGGTGTTGGCAAAAAACAACTGTTGGCAAAAAACAACTTTATGGTGCTTCTTTACACTTTGCCTAATTCTGACTCTTTCTGGTTCATCATTTAGTGAATAAAGCACAGCATTAAATGTATGCTTCTGCATTGTTTCTACATCAAACCCAGCTACCACCCCCTAGAAAATTCCAAAGTATGGGCTGGAAGTCCAGCATAGGCCCAGAACTGTTCCCAGCAGGCAGCATGGGTACAGCACCCCATTTTGGAAGCTAGGAGCATGGTATAAATGGATGCTGTACCATGCTAGCTGGCAGCAGTGCCAGCCAATGGTCCCTGTATGCCTAAACCACTAATGTAGATGTGGCTACAGTAGGAGTGCGGCACATGCAGGAAGAGATAGCTGGGTAAGAAAGCAGCATTTGTTCATACCTGTCTGTGATGGCAGCACTGCATCAAGATTAACCTATTCCTGCTTTTGAGGTCTTTGATATCAGCACGATCTTTGATATCCCTCATCAGGGATGAGTGGTCAAGCAAAGCATTCTGGTGCTTTTTGGATTTGCTGAACATGGCCACATCCAACTTTGGCTGTTGCTCCCCTTCCACACATTCCTCTTTGCCAGAAAAATCTTTCCCTTTTTATTTTGCTTCCTCTTTTGTTGGTTTTTTTTTTTTTTTTTTTTTTTTGCTTCCATTGCTTTTAATTTCATTGGGTGTCTTATTCCACTTCTATTATAACATAGGGGGGAGATGAAAGCCATTCTTCATCACTCTTACTGTGACCACATGGTTAAAAAATAATTTATCTACTAAGTTTTTAAACTAATGGACTGTAATTCACTTCTCACATGCATTTCTCAGCTGTGCCTTTTCATTTTCTATTCTTTGTATTTTACTTTGTTGGCTGTATTTCCTGATCCTCAATTACTTCTGCATTATGTAAGAGTGCGAGAAACTGCCAGGCGTTTAAAGTTGTCTTCTTCAAAACTTTGAATGAATATGGGTGCATTACTATTTGATTTAATTTAATTTCCTGCAGAAAAGGAAGCTCAGAGAGAATGGAGGGCACTTTCTCTTCTACCATCAGGACAGCTTCAATCAGTTGCTGGACTTCTGCCCACAGAAATTTGACAGGCACAAAAGATTGTAACTAGCTTGATTCAAGTGGAACAAAGTTTACAGGGATTAAAAAACTAATGCCTTTTCTCAGTTTTGCTCCAATATAGAGTTGTTGGAGATATTCATGACCTAAACCTACATTTCAGGTTTACTTCTACATCCCCAGACAGTTTTATAAATTGCTCATGTACAACGGTTGCTACATTTCCATAAAAACTACAAATAAAAAACGATCAGAAGAATCTGTAGGTATGGGATAAGATATATTAAAAGTGGGTGGAAAGATAGGTGGTTAGTCATATGTGTACTGGGTCAGGTACAAACCTCCACTTGGTGTTGTTCTCTTGTGCTCCAGGAGAGGTTTTCAATGCAAGTTCGATAATGGATAGGAATCTGTGGCTTGTCTCATCCAGCTGGGTAGTAGCGCTGTAGACCTCAGTGCTCACTTCGCAAAGGCAACTTCTCACACATACGTAAGCCTCTTTTCATCAGCCTGCACAGTGGAAGGTTAAATCAAATGTATGTATGCATAGAACTGAATTGCCCGTGCCACAGCAAGAATATTGAAAGAAGGCTTTGGTGTGCTTGAGAACCACACTGAAAGTGCGTATCGTCTTTAGGTACAAGGTAATAAAGTTGTAATAAGTAAAATACAGTAAATATGCTCATGTTAGAAAAGCGTTGATGGGGCTATGTTTTGCTGCTGAATGTGGAGGTTCCTAATCTTCTACATAGAAACGAGCAGGAAAGACAGTACAATCTTTGGGGCCCAAACCTATATACTTGTCTTCAGTAGTCTGGCTTGAAGAGGCATCCCTCTTCCTTCAAGGAGAACCAGGGCACTTTCTAACTAGTGAAGTCTTACTCTGTCCCTTTTGTAGGGTAAAAATGACCCCTGGATCCTGGAGATGTACATTCTCCAGCCCCAACCCTGCACCACTTCGTATTAGCACCATCACTATTAGCAAGAAAGTACCATGGCACTAGACAAATAAACAGTGTTCTTGTTTGATTAAGGTTAAGATAGACACACCCCTGTTACACCTTCGTTTTGTTGCGTGGGCATATTTAGGTTGTGAGAGCTTAAACAATGAGATAATCCACAAAGAGTGAGAGTTACACTGTTCATTTCAAAGCTGTCTCTGTGCAACCCCTTCTTAGATAAACTTTCTCAGAAAAAATCGTTCAAAGCAGGTTTTCAATGGAATCCAGAACAAACAGTTCTCTCCCAGATAATCGCTTGAGTAAAGTTGTCCTAGAGCAAAACTGCCTGCAAGAGTTAAATAAGGTAGTTACTTCCTTGAGAAAGTGAGTGGAGAGGTGATCTACGCTTGAACTACTGTGCATCTGAGTAGGCTGGCACAGCTAGGATCATATGTGCTAAGCTATGGCGTCCAAGGCTGAAGGATGAGGTGAAGCTCTTTTTCTCTTGCCAGAAAGGATAAAATTTCCATTCCATCTTCTCTTGGATGACATTTCTAGGTGTGAGATTAAATGGTTCTACTGCAGTGTAGAAACTGGTCTGAAATGGAAAGTGGTAGTTGTAGGGCAAGCAACAGAAAGGAACTGGAACCTGCAGTATAACCAGAACATTGTCCCCAGTTCTGCATTAGGATTAAAAGTGATGCCTAAAGCTAGGTGCTTCATGGGTCAAGGTCAGAGTTGGGCATGGAGTTACACAACCATGCTATTTGAAAATTTCCACTATACGCCAAGGTCACATCATGTTTTTTGGATGCCAGTGCCACGCTGGGAGCTGGTATATAGCTGATTATCCACCAAGTCCTTCAGCTTCTCCTCCTCTGAGTTCCTGCTTCTCACATCAGTGGGAATTTAAGTAAACTGAATTTAGCTAGACTACATGCATCTTGTTTATTCATTCCCAGTATGCATACCGATTCAGATCACTGAATTTCACCTTTCCTCCCTATTGTCACTTTTTTTATCTTCTGTGAACTGTGCTAATTTTTCTTTGATAAAAATGTTAAATAGCAAAGTGCCAAGGATCTAACTGCTGTCTTCACCTACCTAATATGTAGTTGCAGAGGGGCCAGGAGCTGACTCTTCTCAGGGGAGCATGGTGAAAGGAGGAGAAGCAGCAGACACTGGCTGCAGCACAAGAAATTCCAACAGACACCAGCAAAGAAAGTTTACAGGTCAAGGCCTGAAAGGGTCTGCTGGAGATGTGTATGTACATATGCCTGGTCTCTGCCCTGCACTCCTAGGTGGCTTGCAGACATGTTTCCAGTCATATTCTAGGAGGTTAACCATGCCTTACAGATAGATTTTCATTTGGTGATATTTATTTCTTTCCATTGACTACACAAGTAGTTCAAAAGCAGGCATCTAGTGCTTAGAGGTTTAAAGTTACTGTACCAGGCTCTGTCCTTCAGGTCCTTCCCATAGAGGTTTTTTGGGCTGTATGGCTGAGGGTGGCTCTGGGCTGCACCATCTTCATCCCACCCGTCCCCACCATGGGCACTTGCTGAAAGAGCAGGGCTCCATCTGGGGACAGAAAAAAGTAACATCAATCTAATTCAATGCCCACAGCTTTTGCGTTGTTGAAATGGAGCTGAGAGACACACCTAGTAGTTGCCTACAGCTGAAATTTCCCCCCTGCAGCAAATAGGATATAGAAGAGCCTTTCCTAGGAGCAAGGCAGGCGTTTAATGCAACTCCGAATTTCAGGTGCCAAGTGCAGCCTCCTGGCAGCCCGATGAGGACTCCTCTGCACCAGCCCAGGGTGCGGGGACATGGTGTCCAGCTCCTATGCACCTCCTCTGAAATGCGAACTTCCCCCTCTTGAACCTCAAAGCAGCAGCCAACGCACACGAGCGCTAGCTCCAAGGCCACCAGCAGCTCCCAGTAATCCTCACAGCCTGTTTGGAAACCAGCCGAGGGGCAAGCTTATTTGTACCATATAAACGGAGATACTGATGTATGGGGCATAGGCACCCACTGCTGGCAGCAGGGGCCGCAGGGCGGCCTCTGTGAGGAGAGGCCGGGGCTGCCCCAGGCCAGACACAGCCGGTTCCAGCCGGCTCCAACCCACCCCACCCCAGGGCACGGCTGAGCCCC